CACATAGGGACAGCCTCTCAAGAGGTCCACATGTCCTGCTCCTTCTGTCTCTCTCCTCTCCAGGTAGACATCAAATAGCACAGAACGTGGCTTTCTTCTGACCTGTGGCCCAGTTGGAGGCTGTACAATTTCTGCACACTGGACCGTGGGTGCTATCCTCAAAGGGGGCATTTTATTATTGTTTTCTTTATAATTTCAGACATATATACAGTGAATTTAGATCATATACCCTACTCCTCCACTCCAACTTCTCCCAGGCCACCCCTCCTCCCCTAAATGGAGCCTCCATATCACACACTACCACCCCCAGGTTCTGGGAACACTGCAGAAGATGGGACAGAAAAATTTCAGAGTCAGAGGGGTAGAAGGACTTCTGCAAGAACAATGTCGCCTGGAAATGACACAGTTGTTGGCCTCATGAACTCACGCATGCAGCTGGGGCTGCCCAGGGCCAAGCCAGTAGACATTCCAGCATGGAGAGGGGGAAAGCTCAAGAGGGGAGGGGCCTTTCTATAGCTGAGCCACCCTGAGAAATGTAACAGTAAGCATGCCAGTTGAAGTGCTGTACCCACCTATTGTCAACACCTGCCCACAGAGTGCCCCAGGTCACATGAAGGGTTGGACACAGCACCAGATGTTTTGGGTTCATCTGAACTAAAATCATGCAGAAGTCAAATATGACCTTTCCTGAATTTCTAAGTAGAAAGAAAAACAACATCTTCCAACTACTTCCCTGTAGACCGGACAAAATCCGGTTGTCATACAGGAAGACCTAGCTGCCTATTAAAGACTGTCCCCTTGGATCTGCTGCTGGTAAGCCCCTAGGAGATGCTAGCCCAGGCTTCCCTCTGTCGGCAGGCTCTGAGTTAGCTCAGCTGCCTGGCTTCCCATCTCTTGGTTCATCATTCCCCTTCCTGTATCAGACCCTGGAGTTGATTCTTGTGTGGGTGAGTGCCCTTCCCCTCCCCAGCTGCCTGATAAAGCTATCCTTGAGATTGAGAACAGAGAGCTTGAGCAAAGCAGGCTTTCTGTGATGTGTGTTGAAGGCGGTTGATTTCAACAATACTTCTGGCCCACACCCCTCCCCTTCCTCTTGCCTTTATCCTGTTATCTCTCACATCCCTGAGTCAGGAGAGTACTTGATTCTGATCTCGGTTCTGTTTTGGTTTTCTTCCTTTTTTTAAACTGTATTCACAAGTTGACCTTGTGCCTTCCAGTGTCATTATCTGATAGCAGAGCAGTCAGGTTGAGCACTAGCCTCTGTCACCAGATGAATAGATGAAAATGTAGCGTGAGTGATTAAAGTACAAATTAATTAAACGTGGTTGGCTCAGCAATCTCCTGCACTTATGAGCTAAGTATTTTGAGTTTAATAATACACTTATCAAGGTTTCGTTTAACTAGACTTATAATTATGCCTTTTAAATATTTTCTCTGCTGCTTGCCACTCTGGGTTTACAAAAGCCCTCCTAATTGGTTGCAATTATTTTAATGCAACAATTTCTGAACCATTTTTATCATCCATTGCTTAAAGATGCAGCTGAGAACAACTTCAGTCACTGTTTTATTGCCGTAGTGCAACACGTGACCAAAAGCAACTTGAGGAAAGAGTTTATCTCAGCTCACAATACTTGGCCACAGTCCATTGCCAAGGAACGCAAACAGGACAGGAACCTGGGGGCATGAGCTGCTAACCGAGGACATGGAGGGGAGCTACTTAACTTCTCCTACGTCCAGAACTAAACTCTATCAGAAATCCAACCCAGCTGCTGCCACTGCAGCAATGGCAACTCAAGCAGCTGATACCGTCTAAAGGCAAGGAGGTCCAAACGTGCTGCTGCCCCACGGCTCATTTTGCCCATTCTAGTTGGCTTCTTTTTCAATTTTTATTATAGCCTGTTTTTAATTTCTTTTTAGTTTTAACACCTTCTTGATGATCTGTAATGCATCCTTATAGAAAATCTCCCAAACCTTCATCTTCTTCCCTCAGCCTCCATCTGCCCTCCCCAGGGCTGCTGGAGGAATCTCCTTTCTGCCTAGGTCTGACCCGATGCGAGCCTCGGTTAAGACTTTCAACAGCACTGCATAAAGACTTGAGGTGCTGAGTGCTGGTGTGCGTGCTGACCCCTCCTTTTCTTCTCCTTCCTGGAAACCCCATTCCCTAAACTTCTCACCCTCTTCCCAGTATCCTGAATCCTGCAATGTGCCCTAAAGATGAGATTGTTTCTGCTCTCCCACCTGGAAAATTTCCTAAAATAGTTCCCCAAAACCTTGGGCTATAAAATTCAACCTTTGGGGGAAAAAAAAAGTCATACTATCTGGGCCCAAAGCCCTTGACATTGAGCTGCCAATATCTTCTACTTCTTTCTTTCTCATCAGTGTTTATTTAAAGACATTACATCATTGTCATGAAAACCCCAAACTTTAGTCATTCTTCCTTCGGCATGCCCCTGCTTGCATCACAACTGTTATTTCTGAATTTCTGGCACTGCCTTCCTAGGTACTAGAGAACGTGAGTACAGAAACCTTCTGATTATTCTATTTGGCGCCTCTCCTTGTCTGCTGCAGGGATATGATGTGGGATTCCCCTCTTTATGCTATGGATATGTTTTATTACCATTGATTAATAACAAAGCTGCTTTGGCCTATGGCAGAGAAGAATGGAGTTAGGTTAATTGGCCTCTGGACCAAAATGGAGTTAGGTGAAGAAAACCAATCGGAATGCAGAAAGAAGGCAGAGTCAGAGAGATGCTCTCCATTGATGTCACTGCTGGATTTAGCCCCTTTTTGTTCCAAGATGGGTCATGTTTTTAACCCTTGTGGGTGTGTTCTTCTGCCAGGCATCTGCTTCTCTCTATTTTTTTTTTCCATGAGAGAAAATTGCTTTTCTCTTTCAAAACCTGGAAACATGAGCTCTCTCCAGGGGCCTCTCCAGCGCTGAGAATGAACATTCGTCTCTTAGATTTTAGGCTGGATGCCCCTGTTGCAATGATGGACACACGGACCCCTGTCTCCTCTGCTCCTTTCATGTGCTTCATGAGTACATCTAGTTCATCTTTTTGTCTTCCCCAGAAGTGACCACAGTGTCCGTCATAGTATTAAGTAGTCAATTGATCAGACAATGAGGAAGAAGAGTCATCTGTGTTGAATCATATACAGATGGTCCCCAGCTATACCTGGTTAGACTTTGGGTCTTTCAACTTACATGGTGTAAAGGTGATATATGAAGTAGAAACCGTACTTTGCCTTTTTCATTGAGATCTGTTCCTTGGCTGGTAATGCTGGGTCAGATCCTCTCTGGCAATGCTCAGCATCAGGGACCATTTCTTGTAAGTCGGCCACAAGGGGAAACAGCAGTGCTCAGCAGTTCTCTCTACTGCTAAGCAGTAACGCCTCGTAAGTCGCGTGCAGTCAATGTGTTTGGAATTGAATGGCATTTTCATTAGTGACAGTTTATCAGGATGTAACCGTGTCCTCAGTCTGAGAGCACCTGTAGTTGAAGTGCCCTCTTTATGTTCAATCATTGTTGTCCCCACCCCCAAAATTGTGCCTCCCCCTGTGTTCTTTGTGTTAATAATGAAGGTTTCCATTCTGCTGTCCCAAATCTGGACATTGAGAATAATCCATCTCCTGCCCTTCAGGTCGCTCAGTCAGTCAGTCATGTGACCTGTGAATAGACTTTGATTTCTACATGCTGCTCAGATGCATCCGTAACCCTTAAATCCTGCCGCTCGGAAACTGCCATGTTGTCCCTTCTCACCAGTATGACTGCCCCAGGATGCCCCGTGACACATAGTTGATTCCACCAGTATTTGCGAGTGAAGGGCAGTCCTATGTCAAAAGCATGTTCAAACCCCAACAGGCAAACTCTCCAGTCCCATGGTCAAGCTCTCAAGGACTGCGTCTGATGCCAGAGACTAGGGAACAACTTCTTATGAAGACAGGAATAATATGGTAGATGAAAGCTGCCGGCTCACCCAACTGCCAGGAAGCAAAGAGACGGGAAGAGGAAAAGTTGGAATACCCTGTTCAAGGGCACACCCCTGAACTTCCTCCCAATGGGCTCCACTTCTAAAGATTGCACCGCCTCCTGATAGTGCCACAGACTGGAGACCAAGCTTAACACATCGGACTTTGGAGGAACACTCCAAATCCAAACTATAACAATATGGCTATTAGTTTCCCAGGGCTCACAGCCTAGAAACATTTTAAAGCAAGGCTCCAGGATAAAAGGAAGTGAGGCCATTGGAAAACTCTAATGGAAGTGTGAATGATTTTAATATTGCCCATTTACCAAAGGAGGGGAACGCTGCTTGTCCAAATCTCAGTGCTTCGAGAGCCTGATTCCAGCAGCAGGGCAGTAAAAGCAGCAAGCAGTGGGTGGTGGAGACAGCAGCACCAGAACAGAAAGCAGATGATGCTTTCTTCCTCCCTTCTTCTCAACCAACAAATATATATATATATATATATATATATATATATATATATATATATCCGCCATATATTGGGTGAGAAACTACCACACTAATAGTTACACCAACTCCCCTGTGAGTCTTCAGATGGCCTCTGGGGAGTTCTGTCACCTGCCGGGTGAACCCCTGACATCTTCATCCTCTTCCTTCCCTGTCACCTTAGTCAAGGATGAATACATTTGATTGGGATGGTGGTGGCATGCCTATAATCCTAGCTACTCAGGAGGCTGAAGCAGGAGTGTTGCTTGAAACTAGGAGGCTGGGACCAGCCTGTATGTTGCCATAAGAACCTGTCTCTTTAAATATTAGCAAATTCAGTAAAGGTGTTCTAGATCTCTAGGGTTTCGCTGACTGTCCCCAAGCTTTCAGAACACGTCGGTATGATTTCCATTCCAAAAGGCAAAGGGAACTCAAGTCACGTGGTCTCTGTTATCTGTCACCATGGAAAAGCTGGCCATCTGTGAGGCTCCCGTTTTAACACTTTCCCCCCTTCTCTTTATTTCCAATCGCTTTCTTGGGAAAAACAAGCCGAGGAAGTGGAGAGGCTGGCGGCCATGCGTTCTGACTCGCTGGTCCCTGGTACACACACCCCACCTATCCGGAGGAGGAGTAAGTTTGCCAACCTGGGAAGGATTTTCAAGCCTTGGAAATGGAGGAAGAAGAAAAGCGAAAAGTTCAAGCACACATCAGCAGGTAAGGTGGCTGCTGGCCTTCTTTCTCATTGGCTATTCGTTGAGTTAAACTCTGCGTCTTAATCTGGAGGATTTGATTTCCATCAGCTGTCTGACCCAAAGCAGAGACTCCAGCCTTGCGATTGCTGTCGCCTTTAATAATTGCTCATATGGTAAGGACTGGATTTTAAGCCTCAGCTGCTTGCTGTTCCTTCTCTCATGTAGGTTTTTCTTTTCTCTTGTTGGATATTTTTTAATTTAAAAATGACTGCTTTTGTTTGATCTATAAATAATCTGGACTTGGAATTCCACCTTTTCTATAATTGAATAATTTCACCCCAGCCCCGACAATCCATTTCTTATTATTCACCGATTGTCACTGCTCCAGTAAAAGTCAACACCCAGCAGAAAATGACTTATGTATGGTTGTTGGCAGATAAGATCGGGTTATTTCATGGAGGAAGAATCATGAATAAGTGATTCTTGGACTAGGCAGAAAAACAAATGATGGAAGTGAATTCTCACCGCATGTGAAGTTAGCCATGCATTTCATAGCTCAGTGGCCAGCTGGGAAATGTTGGGGGAGATAAGCTCAGCCGCAAGTCGTCATTCCTGGAGCCAGGCTTCCTGGGTTCAAATCCAGGTTCTGGTACTTGCTGGTTATAGGAGCTTGTTTGGTTTATTTACCTGTACCTCAGCTTCCTCATCAACAAAACAGAAGGATAAGAATCAGTCCTTTACATGAATTTTTGTTTGTGGAGACTCAATGAGCAAAACAGGCAGCTGTTTTTAAGAACATGAGGATGTGAAGAGAAAAATGTGTAGACAACGACAAGGAGTTTGTTTGTTTTGTGGTTTTTCGAGACAGGGTTTCTCTGTAGCTGTGGAATCTGTCCTGGTGCTAGCTTTTGTAGATCAGGCTGGTCTTGAACTCACAGAGATCCGCCTGCCTCTGCCTCCTGAGTGCTGTGATTAAAGGTGTGCGTCACCACTACCAGACTGACAAGGAGTTTTATCCTGTTGGTTTTAGAGGAGATGGTAGGAAATGTGTGCAGATCGCATTTGATTTTTGTGGTAGTCTTGGGTTGCTATACCAAAATACTACCCACTAAATGGCTTAAACCAAAGATGTTTATTTCTCATGGTCACAGAAGCTTTAAGTCCCAGGTGAAGTTACAAACCATGTTGGTTTCTTTTGGAAACCTCTTGAGTTGGTCAGTGATGGCCATCTCACTACATGCTCACGGACCTTCTTCTTTCTCTGTATGCACAGAGAGAATGCTGTCTGGGTGTCACCTGAGGGGAGGGGGACTTATCAGAGGCCCCACGATCTTGACTTTATTTAAACCTAGCTGGTCTCCAAAGACACACATCTGTCTACATTCATACTGGGGCTTAAGGATTGAGCATATGACCTGAGAATACTACAAGTTAGTGTTTGTTTCTCTTTATGGATGCTGTCACTCCCTGGGCCCTCTTCTAGGCTTTTGTTGTCTTCTCCCGCCGTTTTCTAGAAACGCATCCTGTTATCTCTCCCCAAGGCTAGCATTTCCTCTTTTGGTTTGGCTTCTGTCCTCTGTCCCACTCACAAATGAAACTCTTAAGTGATGGGCTTCTTGGCCTGAATGTCCGTCAACAAATCCAACTACACAAAGAAACTAGAGTAACAAACAGGAAGATTTTGAGATGGGGATAGTTCTCCTGATGGACACTCTCAGTACCTGCTCCCTCAACACCATAGCCCCATAGCTCCGACTTGCTGGCTTCTGGAGTAATAATGAGCTTCTCATTTCATGAGTTTCTAAATCATTGCCCCTCTGGGGCAGTCCCTTCACTCCGACTCTGCCTTCTCTTCCCGTGGATGGAGGCAAACATGATGGTATCAGATAGCTCATGAAATAGTAACAATCTGAAAACTTTACACGTAAAGCTATTTTTGAGAAAAAGTCTCCCCGTCTATAGCCAGTAGACTCCCTAACTTCAAATCCTTCTCGTTGTTCTTGCAGTGGTCACCATAACCCTGCTGTTGGATTTGGCAGCTAAGAATCTCATTTAGATGTGATTTCTGTCTCTTTTTAAAAGACACAGCTCCTAAGTGGACATAGTTGCAAACTGCCCTCTACAGCTGTATACCTGAGCCTAAGTGCAGCTTTCGGACCACTCCAGAGAAGTTTCTTTGTGCAGTGGTTGGCTGTTACTCCAGAAGCTCACAAAGGTCAGAGTGCAGAGAATCAGTTTCTGGAGAGTGTTCAGTCAGAAAGGGTCATCTATATCATGCCTCTTACCCCAAACCCCAGAGAACATCTTAGAAGAGGGAAAAGAGGTCAGGGAGAAATGGGGTGAACTGTACTCCCTGGTTTTGACAGGACCACCGTAGACATGAGCTCACAGCAGTTGTGGTTGCCTCCAAAACACCTTCATGAGCTCAAGCTTGTCGACATCCCAGCGTGGAGCAGGGAAGAGTTCATGCCCATTTAAAAAAAAAAATGAAAAGGAAGTAGAGAGGAAACCTAAATAAAATGTACTCTGTCGATGACATAAGGCAGAAGACAGTAGAACAGAAAGGAAATGGAAGTGTCCTCTGAGGGCCTGTTGACATTGGTTTCTGCTGAGGAGCTATCTTTAAGGTTGGAGCCCTGGTAATTGCCCTTGCTCCATGGGATGTCTCCTCACCCACATATATATGAGCAGTAATAACTGAACTCTGTTAGTTACACAAAAAAGAGAGGGAACATGAGGACTGGCAGATAGCTCTAGGAGGAGTTAGGGGGAGGAGAGGCACGTGAATATGGCCAAAATACATTATCGGCATGTAAGGAATTCTCCAAGAATCAGTAAGATTATACATCAATAAAAACAGACAACTCCTGGATTAGAAGGCTGCTCTATAGAACAACTTTTTACCATACTAGATGGATGAGCAAACCACGTTGCTGAAGCTATTCTAGCTTATTTTAAATCCCATGTTTCACCCTGTAGCATCCCTTCTTCTTAACTGGATTCCAGAATGTTATTTATTACCTTTTCAGAGGAAAAACTTTCTGGGCTAGTTCTTAGCCCAAACGGATAATTTGACAACATAGGAATAGTCAAAACAATGAATTGTATTCTGGTACATAATTTAAAGTGGTGACTTTCCTACGTTTGGATAAGTCACAAATATGAGAACTATACAAGAGGATTCCTAGATTACAAGAATGCAGACTGGTTACCTGTGTTCAGCTGGTGTGCATATGTTTGTTTTGCATGTGTATCCCTTTAAAGAAATTCATTTTCTTTAAAGAAAGTCATTATTCAGTTACTCTTATTGAAGCTAGTAAGACAGCTTGCTCAGGGCCATCACAACAGGTAGAGCAGTCTTTGCAGAAAGCTGAGCAAGACTGAGTAGGGGGGTAATGACTAAGAGAATGCATCTCCAGGGATAGGAGAAATCTTGACTTAAGCAACTAAAGGGTTTTTTTTTTTAATCCGAAATCAGGACAGGATGATCAAACATCACTAAAAAGAAGTGTAACAAAGTATAAAGGATCCCATTAGGGACTAAGGTGTGTCATATATTAAAGGTGGAGGATTCTAGCTAAAATTGGATGCTGCAGAGAGGAACACAGAAATCCAGACCTTTGCCCATCTCCTCCATTGCTTCCAGATCAGCAGAGATGTGAACAGGTATTTTCTGTAAGCTCCTGCTTTCATGAAGCCCCCCCACACACACACCATACCATCCCCATTGCCCTGACACCGTACCATCCCCATTGCCCTGACACCACACCATCCCCATTTCCCTGACACTATACCATCCCACCACTGTGGATTTACATCCCCTCACTGTGAGCCTCTTCCAAGCTGTTTCCTACCAGGTGTTTGGTCACAGCAACTAGAAAAATAACTAATATAACACCGATAACCTTTTTCATTAGCTGTGGCTGTTCATTGCAGCTTTGGATAAAGCTATGGGAGCCATCCTGCATCATAATTTTACCAGTTGAGTAAAAAGAGAAACAGAAAAGAAAAAGAAAAAAAGAGAAAGGATTTGTATTCATGTCCAAGATTTCTGTAACAAGTTGCCATAAACTCAGTGGTATAAAGCCATGGAAATGAGTTGGCTCACAGTCTGAAGACTACAGTCAAGACACTAGTAGGACTGGCTCCTCCTGGAATTCTCATAAAGAAGTCCTTCCACTTCTGTCCATCCTGCTGCTGACTATGCCAGCATTGCTTGGCCCATTTCTGTGCTTCATCTCTGGAAATTGGATTTAGAAATAACATTTAGTAATAATCCCATTCAAAGATACTTCTGAGTCAGGCATGGTGTCTCACACCTGTTAGCACAGTCTTAGGAAGATCTTTTACATAGTGAGTACCAGGCCAACTAGGCCTACATAGTGAGACCCTGTCTCAAAACAACAACATCAGCAAAAAGACTTTAACTTTGTTATATTTGCCATTAACTTATTTTCAAGTAAAATTTTCATGGTCACTAGGAACTTTCATGTGTTCTTTGGAAGGCAGCAGGGGTTAAGATAGACATTTAGATTAGAAAAGGGAACTCCAGTAGATTGGCAAGAATTAGAAAAGCCAATAGACGTCAAGATGCAGAGAGGTCAAAGAACTTCAGACTATTTCTTAGCGAGGTTAGTGGAAGGACAGGTGCTGATGGAGGCAAAACCCACATCCTCAAATAAAGGAGCCTCAAGATAGTTCTATATGGAAACAAAACACAGACCATGGTATAGGCTTACATACCTGCATATCTTATTTATAAAATTATATGTTGGCTTAACTTTGTCCTTGTCAATTGTGCAAGTCAAAAAACTTTCCTGTGCAGTTTTCATGTTAAACTCTTGAACTGACAATTTTGCCTGAGAATGCTTCATTCTTTCCCAAACTGAGATGTTCCCATCCACCGTCTTTGTAAGTGACTGAAGTACTAATACTTAATGGAGTCACAGAACCCAAGGTTGCTTTCCAGTCCCTCATTTCCCGTATTAGCAGACTCTCCCGATACAAGAAGCGGTATGTTAG